AATATATTTTAAATTATATATGTAACTTAGTTTCATGTTAGATGAGAAATCTTCCTATCTCATGTTGCTGCCATTTCTCGATGAAACCTGAAAATGTTCTTCAAACTGACGTCTTTATAAACATGTGAACATGAAAAACTATGAAAATATAGTTTATGTAATCCATTGCACTTCAGCGGTACCACCAACCCACTTCGACGTAGTTATCAACAAGATAGCGTCACAACGCCATCATCGCACTTCAGCGTGATAGAAAATTGACTTATGCTTTAAACCATCGCAATTCAGCGTGAACATCGCGATTCGGAGTATCATCGCGGTTCAGAGTTCTACATATAAAGTAAATATATTCAATATTTCAAATGTTTATTGGATACAAATCATTTCATTCTGATTAGCGTCGTCCGCCGCTGTAAAAGTCTAAAACATGTAGAAGAGGTTGGGCCGATTATCCTTCATTTTTTTCACACCAGGGCTATTTTCAAAAGGTATAGATCATTCTTTACTGAGATTCATAATACCACAGCCCTTTTTGTACATTTTTTATACAATATAATCGCTTAATTATAAACATATCACAAACTTATAAACGACTAAGGACATCATAAAATTCCATTTGTGTAAATTTTTGCTTTTTAGTATTTATTCCTAAGATGTATAGGAAGTTCATCGGTAACCAAAAGCAAAATTATGTTGACATTAATGCTATGTATTGTCTTTCGAACACTACGTAGTTATTTTTTGTAATCGATATCCTTCATTGCAAAATTTGAGAAAAACATATATAATTTGCAATTTTGTATCCATATGTCTTCAACAGCAACACGTAACGCTGAATATAATTTTGAATTTATGGAAATGTATGCGTTAAATTATTTAAAACAAACTTTTAATATGATAAAAATGTTAAATATTAAATTTCAAGTAATGATTTGAAAAACAAATTTTAGAACCTGTGAGTGAAACTGGAGAAATTTGAAAGGGGTGTGTGTGGGGTGGGGGTGGTGGTTGTTGGGGGGGGGGGGGGGAGTTGGGGGGGGGGGGGGGGGGAGGGCGCTAATAGCTTAACTTACGATTTTGGTCATGGTTCAACTTTATTCTAGTACGATATACATTTAACCTCTAGTCAACGCTCTATCTCCTTAAAGCGTCACTCTAAAATTGTTATCATTTGCTTCAGGTCGATCCGTTTTGCATCTCGTCGTGAATATGCATGACATATTTGCCACTGAACATTAATGGAGCAATCAATTAATCAGCTTCATTTAGTGACGTATAATCATTAGTCTTCAGTTGATAATTGTCTCAAACAGTTTTTATATATTTGATTTTTATTCATATTTGATATTTGAAGCGAAATTCTAGCATGTCTTTCCTCATTTTTCTCTTTGCATTTATTTTTTTTAAACATTAACTAACGTAGTCCACATCAGGGGTTACATTGAATCCTATTCAGCCAAAGTAGGAGGAGGGGAGTAGAACATAATCAGTCTTCTTTGAGTGGCAATAACTCATATATTTAAGCGTGCAACGACGGCAGTCTCGTCTAGGTGACAAATGTCATTTTTTTTTATATCTGGTATAGCTGTCATAAAAGAAAACATGAATAATAAAAAAAAAAAAAAGTTTGCAACAATTTATCTTTAGATATTGTCTTACTGAACGGTTTTGTTATTAAAAGTTAATTTTCATCTACAATTGTCCTTGCAAAAGGCGCAAAAATGTGTTAAATTCAGCCATGCGACTTATATATAGATTTGGCTGACCTTTATTGTTGTTTAGAGATTTCAGTCATTTGACTAGTGCGTAGATCGTATTTCCCCCTCAAAGAGTTATTCAAATGGTTCTTCAACGTATAGTTAGCGTGAAACTCTCACTACACCAGACATCGGATATACGTCATTTCTATTTCGACCGAACGAAACTGCGTATTTATACATCCGAACAAACAAACGGACGCACCCCTTTAACAAGGGTATACTGTCGTCCCGGAGAAGTCTAGAGATGTCAATATATCTATACCCAAGTCAATTCTTTGGTTTAATTAATACATTAATTTGACAGCAACCCAACAACACAGACAAATCAAAATATTAAGAGTCAGCATACAGTATTTTGTAATAGAAATCTAAGATGCCTATACAGAATAATAAGCTCAAAACCGCCCCATGACTAAAAAAATATGAAGTTAATTTAATAATATTTACCGTCAAAGATATCCAAACAGGAACAAGTGTTTGTTTGAAAAATATCACCTGCCCTTTTTTAATTTCGATCGGTAGAAATTGAAGAAGGTGTAATATAAACCATTAGACTGTATAGTAACGGTAAAATAAATGATGGTAATGGATGACGTTCAGAGGCAAATTAAATGCATATTCAGGACGAAAACATGTAAATTTAGTATAATACGAATATTAGCCCTGCTTTGTACTAGACCAACACGCTGAGCCGTATTTTTAACGTGTAAGTTCACAAGCTAACAGTTCGCTAACAGTTCGCATCGCAGGAAGAAAAGTCACCCTAACCGGACACATTTCTAACTCAATGCCTACACGTCTGTATTCTAACTCATCATTTCCGCGTGTTTAGCATTGAAACAGCAAATACCAATGTTTACGTCTTTGTTTGGCCCGGTTGGGATTCGAACCAACAACCTCCCGCTTTCGAGGCGAACACACTCCCACGAGACCAAAAAGGAGAGCGGTAGTATAGAATATCATACCAAAAACCGAAGTACAGTAAACAATACAGTGTCAAAGAATTCTCATATTTACTGAAGCGAGCTAAAAGTATCTAACCTAAATTAGATGCGTTAAATGATATTGGAAACTACACGTAAATATCGATGACCGATTTCAGAATAGACTTCACGGATCAACACTCTCTGCAAATTAAAAACTCTTGCACCAATTATTTGAGGGGTCTGGATGTGGCCAGCTGTTGCAAGGCTAAATTTCTGTCCTTATTCAATATACCTTCATTTTCCAGTGGTATTCCAAGTTTCACGTCCAACCTCACTGTCGATCTCCTATTGCAAGACCTACCTATTGTATTTAAAATTGATGTGTTCTCGTCATGAACATGCATGAAATATTTGCCACTAGACGTAAAATAAACAACAATCAATCAACTTCATATTTTTTATAAAATAAAAAAATCGTTATTTTGAAAAGTTCAAAAAATATAAATTTACCCCTTAATTTTTAAAACTATCCTATAGTGTTATTTTAATGCTAAAAAGTTCATAATGAATAAATAATCAAATGATGTACTGCTATTTAATCGGTCCGTTTCCAATGCAATTAGGTAACTGTTATTTGTATATATCAGTCTGAGTACTGTTTAACTATAATGTAAGCTGAATATATTTAGACTCGTTCAATTCAGGGGAATAAGGCTTCTGTAAGTGGTTTTTTTTTTTTTTGCGTACTTTTCTTATGTTTTTGACGGTTTGTATGTCAGTAAAAGTTTCGGGCCCGGGGATCTCAACATCCCTTTTTGTTCGAAGGTCTTTTAATATCAATATTAACTTATCATTGAACTTTTACTATTACTTATTTACATTTCATGTAATTTTTTGATGGAAAAGATAATAAAAATGGGCAATAATCAAAAGAGAAAATTGCGTACAGCTTTTTACGTTCAAGCATATTTTACTTGACTGTTTTGTTCTGAAAACGTATCGGCAAAACTTGTTGATACAGCATTTTGCTTCAGATCCATTTTGTTAAATATTTAGGCTGCATTTGATATAGTAACATTACAAAATTCACAGTACAAAAGCATGAAATATATGGGTAATGTGAAACACCTTTCTAATATGTCATAACAAAAGATTATGTGTGTTTGAAAAACAAAAGAAAAGCTTCATGCTACTTCAAATGATTTAACCGGATGTGTATTTCTTACTTACTTTAGTTCACTTATTTTTCAAGGATACATTTAGGCATATTCATTATTTTATCCATAAAATGTGTAAAAAATAAGTCGGACACACCGTTTATTAACACCCCTTGATTTTTTTTACAAACAGCCCTTGACTTTTTGCATTTTTGTGTGTGTTATCTAGGGTAACTACTCTTCAACCTCTGCAAATGTTTAGTCTGCCCTTCCACAAAATACGTAAAAGTATTTTAAACTTTTATTCACTTTCAAAAATTCCCCCTGACAACCAATCAGACAATAGTTTCTAGTTAACAAAATTTCTAAAAGTTCTTAAATGATGCTTTAAAGCTAGCAGATACATTTGTTTTTTAAAATACATCTGTCATGTAGGATGAACCGAAATTTGAAAACACTTTCGGACCGAGGAAGTCAATTGTCTTCTTTTCACTTTTGCCTTGTACTAAACCTTATTGATTTAAACACCAAATCTGTTGACGAATCCGGTCTCTTTTTTTACTGAATTTATTAACTACAATCTCCTCCAATTTACCCCGAATGTGATCTACCGAATTAGACTTATCACCGTGTTTGTTCTAAGATGACCTGCATTCTGCAATTTATTTTCTTATTGTAGTCAGTTCAAAAACTCATAAAGGAGCATTACAGAAAACAAACTAGTATTTTCTTTTTTAATGAACTTAACAAAACCATGATATTCGCATAGACGTTTTGATTCGTTATTGAAATATGAATTGAACAAAGCAGTTTATTTTTAATTTATTATAATGTTAAGCTAAAGTTATAAGCCTAATAAATTTGTTGACTTTTTTCTATCATTAATACATTCAGTTATGAGACAAGAAGCATTAACGAAAATTAAATAAAAAACAAAGAGAACATTTACTACTTCCTAAAGGAAGATAAAGTAATTGTAAAAAAGCTCAACTGATGCAGTAAACTTGATAGTGTTAAAGCGTTAACAGATGATTTTACATTTGATGAATATATCTCTTCCTGAAATCATCAAAATTTGCATTCGTCGACTCATTCATCTTTTTTAATATTTCAATTTATCTCACTAAATCAATTAACTCTACAACAGACATCTTTACCTTAAGTAATCGTTTAATTGCATTTTTGTCTTCTCTTTCTTTGTCCGAATCGTTGCTGTTTTCATGTATATAATCAAACGGTGCTTTGTTGAACTGAAATACAATAAAACAAACAATCAGCGGATAAATGTTACAGTAATATGTATATACTTGTTGGACATACAGTGAAATAAATTGAATCACTGGACACTAGTTCGCCAGATATTCAAATTGCAATGTACTATGAGGTTCAGTGCCATTTTGCTGAAGAAAAACAAAAACAAGAAAATCACAATTATGGTAATCTCTTAACTACTCGTAAAACACGATACTGCATAATTATTAAATAGTAAGACTAGTCTAGTGCTGAATCATTCCTATCCGATAAGACACAGTGCTTAAGCATTCATAGAAAACAAGACACTATTTTAAATCATTTATAACCGATTAGACAGACTTCTGAATCATGCATAAAACATGAGACACAGTGTCAAATCATAAATTGAACTTAAGACACAGTGCCGAATCATCAATGAAACATTAGACACACAGCTAAATCATAATTAGAACACAAAACACTAGCCGAATCATAAAGAAAACATTATGCATTGTGCTAAAATCAATAACAAAAAACTAAACACAGTGTCAAATCGGTGATAGAAAAACAGACACAGTTTTAATTCTGTCCACAAAGACCGATACCAACCTAGAGTTAGTAAATGTAGATGATATAATTTCTGTACGCAGATGTCAAGTGAAAGCCAACAAACAAGACAGTGTAACATAACGAACGTATATTCAGAAACAAAGTTGAATAATTAACAACTGCTAGAAGAAAATATCGAGTACAAACTATTGTTTAAGGCAATCATAACATTGCAAACATAAAACTTGTAAAATATAGGCAACAGTAGTATACCGCTGTTTACTAGTCATAATTCTATTAAGCAAAAACAAACACTGGTAAAAAACTAAAACCGAGGGAAACACATCAACTATTAGAGAAAAACAACGAAACAACAGAAACAGTGAACTACAACAAAAGCAAACGCCAACATACATAGAAACGGACTGTAGATAATAACTGCCATATTTCTGAATTGGTACAGGACATTTTAAGAAAAAATGGTGGGGTGAACCTGGTTTTATGGCTAGCCAAACCTCCTGCTTCTATGGCAATGTTAAAAATATCGCTAAAATGACAATACTACGTGACAGGAATACAGTACACACAAACGCAAAAACACTCAGCACGGAGAAATACCTAAACAAATAATACAATAGTACATTAGAACATGTAAACCCAAGAGTAACAACAATACAATCAAATAAAAGTTTTGGTTTATTCCTTTACATGTTACTTTTCATTGATTTATTAGATTACTTATCGTTATTATACGAAAAGGGGATTTCGTAACGATTTTTAACATCAAAATTAAACCCGGGTGAGGTCTCTTCCTATATAAAGGCATACACAGAACTGCCACTGGTATTGGTCACTTTTTTTGGAATGTCAAATATATCAATGAGGTGCAATTTCACGATAGTAATATAACAATGGGTAGGAATTTATATGTCAATTGGTCATAAATGTTCATCTTCTATTAAGATGTCTGTAAAAACTGTGTTCTTATCTTTTTATCGAATAATATGAATGATCCAATGTGGTCAACGTCTAAATCAGATGTCATAATATCTTGGAAATGTATATAAATGGGTTTTGATTTACTATGAAATATAAGAACGGGTAGGGATTTTCGCATAACTCAATTTATGAAAAAGGGTGTTTTTCTAAATCCCAGCCGGACGTCTGTACCCAAATGTTTATGTTAAGACCTACCGGGACTAAATCAAATTGTCGCTTAGATTGGTCGTACCACACATAGAGTTTGCAAATAAATAATTCCAAAAACCAATTAGGACTTAAGGCGTATAACACTATGCTATTTTCAAATGAATTGTTCATTGTCCATGACCTGAACGACAGAGCCACTGTTAAAGTATCGTTATGCAAGCGAACTCTTGCCAATTTATACACCAGTTTGTCAAAAAGATTTTTGTTTTTTTTTATATGTTTTTTTTTTGTACAGTTTCTGAATAATACATCGTGGACCAAATCTCATTTAACAGAACACTTAAAATTAAAGTTATGAACCAGCTTGACAGAAATATTCTATAGCCTAATACATAAATGTATTTTACCAGAAACTGTCCTGTGTTTACAACTGAATTTTCAAACGAATGTGTCAAACTCATTGTAAAAACTATTATGAAAAAACTAAGTCTCTATAGTTCATAACAATTCCTTAAGGAAAGAATCAGCATTCACATGTAAAACCCTTCTGATTAAAATTATACGTGCACATGTAGTATATGTTTTTGACCTTATAATCCACATGTGCACTGTAAAAAGCAATAACATATACAGAGTGAGCATTATCGTAGTTGCGTATCAACTCTGATGTATACACATATGTGTACTTCAATGTATATCTGTTAGTGTGTTTGCACACGTCAGCTGAGTACTCTTTTTTTGTCAATCCGTTCTGTACCTATATCGATGTGTAGTATATGTATGAAAGTAGTATCTGTATTAAATGAATATTGTTAGACACATTTTACCTTCTTTGACACTATATGATTTTTTTTATTGTCTATACATGTGCCCATGCTATATGTTGTTTTCTGTTACTACAGCTTTTGAGTATTGAACTTATTAGATCATTCCACTTTTCCATGGAAAGATCTTTTGATTGTGTTCTGTTTATTAGGTCTTTCCACATTTCCGTGGAAAGACCTTTTGCTTTTGTTCTGGTTATTATTTTGTTTTCTTCCGTCTAATTTTGTTTTCTTGCGCAGTATTTTATTTTCACAAGATGTCGCTTAGATATTTGGTATATGATATTGAACAGTTAATACGCTTTTGAAACCAGCACCGATTAACCGAACAATTTTCTTTGTAAGAGTTAACTTCTCAAAACACTGTTTTTCCTGTTATGAATACTCCATCGCAACCGTATAAGAAATCGAAATATTTATTTTACCAAATTGCTTGTTATATCTTTAGGATAAGGAGAATAATTTTGACCGAAGGGACACGGAGACCCCATTTGAGAGTTATTTCCACTTATGTATTTAACATAAGTGATATGCATTTGTAATTGGTGATCCATAACATGCATAAGTGGTAGAGACCTAGGTTCTTTTGATTTGAGATCCTTGGTCCAAAAAAAAAGTAATGATAAGCTCAAGGTTTAAGGTCAAGGTCATATTCTAAATTTTGATTTTGGCTTATTATCACTTTTTTTTCTATAAAAACCGTAAAAGATACCGACAAAATATGTCTACTTAATTGTTAGTTCCGACATGTCGTAACACATAAATTTTAGTGGAAAGGGTACTGTTAGATTTGAAATGTTATTCCAAATTGTTGGGTTTCTTCCATTTATTATTACTGAATTTATTTATTTTATTTATAATACTTGTAGATACTATTTTTGAGTATTTGCGCATATGTAACGTTGCACTCATATAAAGTGTAATATTTCCCGTTTTTTTAAGTTTTATGACGTTTCGTCTTTGACGTACGTTACGTTGTCTAGAGTTTTTTATTCATTGCAAGTTATTTTTTATTCGGAGACACATCAGTATTTTGTATAGAGAGATTATAATCGGTAAGAATTATTTATGTACATTTTTAAGAACAATATTTATTTATAGAAGAAATATAAAGAAATGTAAAAGAACTTATAAATTAATATTTATTTCAATTAACTTTTTAATTTAACAAGTTATTTATGAAGCGTGAAAGAAAGTGAATCCTATTGTTTGTTTAGTATTATGTTTTTAGTGTTTTAATTTATATATTTTACTTACGATGTATGTTAATGTGTATTTGTATTTTATTGTGGAGAATCGGTTGTTACGATATACTGCCAAATGTTATTTTGATGAATAAAGATACGTATAATTCTAACCGCATACTCGACTTTATTTGATGTGATCCGTACAGGTATGTTGACAAAAAGGGGAGTTTTCTCCCAACTTTAATTTAATATTACACGTATGATGGTATAAATCACTAACCATATATAAAAAAGACCTAGGGTCTTTTGATTTGAGGTTCTTGGTTTATAACCTCGAAATTGAGGTCAAGGTCATAGGAAAATTTGATGTTCTAGATTTTGACCTTTGCTTTAACTTCATATGTATACATGATAAAGCATGGGACTTTATGCATTAGGTTGCAAGCCATATGACCTTGTACAAGACAACCAGAAAGGACCTTGTGTAAATCGGAAGTAGCTAATTTTTGTATTTATTTAATGTAAAACTACATTGTATATAGAACCATATATTTTAGTCAAGTAGACTATCAAATAGTACAGGAAGTGACATTATCAAACCGGAATTAAAAAATTATCTCCCTTATTTTAATCAAAAAATGTATAGAAACCATGTATTTTTTATTCAGCGTACAAAAAGCTATCATGTGACACTGGAAATGACATTTTTAACCGAATTATAATTTATTTATATCAAAATATATCGTCCAGGGTGGAAAGACCTTCAATTGTTCTCTGAACAATTGGTATTTAATTTTAAATTTTTATTCTTCCGTCTCATATTTTTCTTGCGCAGAATAGTTATTTCACAAGGTGTCGCTTAGAAATTTCGCATATGACAGTGTATACGCCTTTGAAACTGACACCGCTAAACAAACACTTTTCTTCGTAAGTTATCTCCCTAAACACTGTTTTTCTTATGTCAACTACTCCTTTGCAACCGTTAAAGAAACAGAATTATTTTTGTTTTACAAAATTGCTCGTTATATCTTCAGGATAAGGATGATCAATTTGAACTAAGCGATCCGGACACTCCATGTGAGAGTTATTTCCCTCATTCATTTGATATAAGTGAAATGCATTTATAACTGGTAATCCATTAGTGATAGAAACCTAGGGTCTTTTGATTGGAGGTCTTTGGTCCAAAAAAAAATGAAAATAAGGTCACGATAAAAGGTAAAGGTATATTCAAATTTTGATGTTGGCTTACTGTCACTTCTTTTAAACAAAACCGTATAAGATATCAACAACATGTTTTAATAAATTGTT